TTATCGCATCTGATCCACACTACCCTCCCCTTTCATGCCCCATCCCTCCCACTCCTCTCTCTCTCTCTCTCTCTCTCTCTCTCTCTCTCTCTCTCTCTCCCACTCTTTCTCTCTCTTTGTATGCTTCTCTCTAGTCTTCTATCAGAGATTGTCTTATTCCTCTTAAGTTTTAGTTTCAGTACGAGTTTTACAGCACCAGCAAAACAAATAGGTTATATAAGTGTTGTTTCCCGCTCTACAACGGCATGTCTTTTCGTTCTGACCAGGCGATCAACAAGAAAACGAACTTCTGAAAACGAACAAGGAAAGGCTCACGTGTTCAGACTGAGGCTACGAAACAGAAACAACATATATACAGAGACGGAGACTGTTAGGTATGTGTGCCTGCTAGATCTTAATAGTCACTTTGGTAGTTGTTGTTGCTGTGTGTGTGTGTGGTAGCCTATCCGTTCGAAATGTTTGGAGCTCCGAAGAGTGTGCTCTTCGCCAGGGCCACTGCCTCTCTTGGGTAGCCGGTGAGGCAGTCCAACCTCCCTGAATTCTCCCCAAAGAGATGCCACCGCCAGACCTCCATGGAGGGGCATCTCTGCAGCCAGTGCTCTAAAACTTGGGGCTCCTCGCAGCACAATGGACAAATTGGGTCCTATGTTTTGTCTATTCTATTTTTGTAGACCCGCAGCCCAGAGACGTGATCGGTCCTGATTTTTGCCAGTAGTGACTGGTCGCTGTGGGACTTAATTTGAGCCTCCCGTTTCAAGGATTTTACCCTGTATATTTCCTTCGTCCGCGTGTGGGATATCGGAGGGTCTTTTGTGATAAGTTTTTATCGGGGCGCACGAACTTTCATATGCACGTTGGTGGCCTGGGCCCAGCAGCGCTGTTGCCTGTTTGGCATTGCTGTCAGCAAGATAGTTGCCGAGGATCTCGCAGATGTTGTTGTAGTAGTAGCAGTTGTTGTTGTGGTTATTGTTGTGATTGTTGATGTTGTCGTTGATGTTGTTATTGTTGTTGTTGTCGTTGTTTCTATTTAACGGTGTGGTTGTTATCGCTGTTGTTGTTGTTGTGGTTTCTGCTACTGTTGCTGTTATTTTTATTTTCCTAATGTACAAGGAGTAAGACTGTTATGGGTACATGGCGCAAAAAATTAAACCTTCCAACAGAGTAGCTCAACAAATGATACGTTTAAAGAAAAGTAGACAGGACAGGCCACACTAAAGCACAATTGCTACAACAACAACAACAACAACAACAACAACAACAGCAACAACAACAACAACAACAACAACAACAACAGCAACAACAAGAACAGCAACAGCAAACACAACAACAACAACAACAACAACAGCAACAACAACAACAATAACAATAACAACACCGCTTAATGAAAACAACAACGACAAGGACAAATTGACAGCATAATCTGCATGATCTTAACTATTTCGCCTTAATTTAATTTCTTAATGGCAACGTGCGAGTACATTTAGACATTGTTGCAAACCTTGTGTTTCTTTGTTTTATCCTGTGTCTTCCTGTGACGCCCTTTTAGTCTTTTCCGCTCTCTCTTCTCTAAATGTCCCAAAGCCCCTCCCACGTGCAACAAGAGACATAATGTGCTGGTAAGCGGGTTTAGCCAAATGCAGCTCGTTCTATTTATTTATCAATTACATTTTCCTTTCTTTTATGTGTGTGTGGGGGGAAGGGATGGGGGTGGGAGAGGAGGGTGAGAGGTATTTGTTCTTGACAGATGACACTGTTTCTATTAAAAGATTAGGGTAAGACACAGATTCCTTGAACACAATTTTACTTTGCTTTTCTTTATCTGGTGTGCACTAAGAAAGCAAAAAAAAAAAAGAAAGAAAAAATGATTTGTGGGAGTTGATTGCCCTATCTCGGATCAACTTGCTAATCGTCTATTTTTTTTTTAGAAACGTGTAGACAAGAATAGAGGGCAGATCTTACTGCAATAAAAACACAAACAAACAAACAAACAAACAAACAAACAAACAAAACTCAAACAAACAAAAAAACCCAACAACACATGCGCAAAAAGATGCCGTTATGTGGAGAACGTCATACAAAAGATTTGCTCAAATCAACGGAGGAATCAGCTCGAACAACTAAGGTACTGTCTTTGAAAGAAGAAGATGAAGAAGAAGAAGAAGAAGAAGAAGAAGAAGAAGAAGAAGAAGAAGAAGAAGA